TTGTACAAGACCAACCGCTGAAAGAAATTTTCAAAATTCTTAGCGAACGGACTTTTGTTCAAGCTCTTTACACTAACAGAATGAATTTTAAAAACCAACTTCTAAATGGCACTGGATCTGAACCCCATCAGACTCAAAGTCAAAATCACATTCACTAGAACAATCAAAATCCAGGATTACCCCCATCCCCTTCAAAAACAAAAGAACTATAAATTTTCAATTAAACACTGGATCCCAAAATTGTGAGGAAAAGATACATAGACAAGTTTACTGTCATGAACTCAGCAGAACACAGCAAAAAAATTTTTCTAAAACACGTTTAACTTAGTTGCCATTATCGATGCATATGTTATACGTATTAATAAGCAGATGTTGTTACGGTTATATTTTAACAAATTTTAAAAGCAAATTTCCTCAAGAAATTGCACAAAAATTTTTAATTTCTCGAAGTCACCTAAAAAGAAAACAATACTAAGAGCTAATCTTGAAAACAAAAAACTTAATAGAAGAATAAATAAAAGGTTGTCACAACCATCAGCAAACCAAAAATCTATCTCATTTTACAGCTTTCACACATACTTCTGGTCTTCTTTTGCCAAAACTACTTCTTGCTCCAATTGCCGTCGCTCTTCTTGTTCTTAGGTAATCTTCAACGAGTTTTTTGTCAAAAATTGTTGGAAAGCCCTCAGTTTGATAGGATTATTAATGTCCACAAACTAACAGTGAAAATACTGTTAAAGATGAGGTATATAAGCAATTCCAGATACCCCATAGCCAATACAACACTTTAATCAAATACATTTTGAACGTTAATTAATGAACTCTGACACTACTGCACAAGAGTGCCCACCTCTATAATTTTTTTTTTTTAATCGTCAACCTTATTTCATTTTTTTGTACACGAGGTTTCCAACACCTAGTTCATCTGCAACAGTCTCAGACTCGTATATTCAGTTCTTGCTAACTTTCTAACCGTCTAATGCTAAATGTATCTGTAAACCCTTTGCCACTTCATAACGCTGCTTTCATTTCATCGGGTGTCGTAATAATTAGCACATGCATTTTGCAACCAAATCCTAATCTGGAGAGGATTCAAACTAACCCTTTACCCAACTCCTCGACTTATAACTTCACATTTCTTGATCATTTTCTGGTTTGCCCAAAAACCACTCAATAAATAACAGTATTTTGGTTCTGCACGTAGAGCTATATGAAATTAATTGCATTTATGTCTTAGAGGTATCTGATTCTGCTTTTACTACTAAATAAACCTTCTCCAACTGTTTGCTGATTAAAATAAATTAACACGAGAAAAAAGTAACAATGAGAA